GGGGCTCGAACACACGAACCGCGAGATCATGACCTAAGCGAAAGTCGGACGCTTAACCGACTAAGCCACCCAGGCGCCCCTGCCTCACATTTAAATATCGAGAAGACTGGCTTGAAATTGTTATGTCAACGTCTTTGGAAATATCTGAAAAGAATGATTACCCATGTAGTTTACGTTTATACCTTATAAATTTGGGGTTTCCTTTCATTTGTTGTTGATAAGGACGGATTTACCAAGTAAAAGCTGCCTGATTATAAACTCCTTGAGGGACTAAGGTTATTCTCTTTATCCTATTGGCCATATTTCCCTTTCTTGGGCCTTCCTCTCTTGGCCTAGAAACATAAGGTGGTCCCTACCATTCTAAAAATAACTCCATCACTAAGTAAGCAAGGCCTCTCTCGGTTCTGCCTGTCTCTTTACAGCCATCAACTGTTAGCCTTTTCTAACTAATTTTCTTTACCCTAATGTCTTACGTGATATTGGACTCCCTGAACTCAGAATGGTTTTTTGGATATTCATGGGTTCTTGGCCTCAAAGGTGTGATTATGTGTTACAAAGTCTCTGTTAAGCAAAATTTAGGATACTCTTCTATCCATGGCCTTTACCTTGCTGATACGCATTATTCACACAGAATTCAGCACTTCCTAAATGCTTCTGACTGAGAACCCTTTTGCTCTCTCCAAGATCACTGAGGACCTCCTATCGCTAAATTCAATGAATGTGTAACAGGACTTAGGATTGTTTTTAGCAGAAGCTGACATTCCAAATTGTTAGTCCTTGCTATTTCTGGCTTGGGGACACCCCAGTGATCTTGAAGCAGACTTTCTTTGTTCTGGGAAGAGCCACAAGAGCTTCCCCTTTTAGTTCCTGAGCTACAGTATTTCTGGATGGAGTGTGCACTAGCTCGGTTACTTATTAATTTTTCTTTGGGTGAGGACAGGGAGCCCTGGCTTATGGTGGACCCCACGCCTTGACCCATAGCTGAAGGTTGCTGGAGCAATTTCAGGAAGAAGTGATATCAATACTAGAGACTTCTCTTTCTCTCTCTCTTTATTTGAGAGAGAGCGAGCACGAATACTTGAGTGGGGGGGGGGGGCAGAGGGAGAGAGAAAGAATCTTATGCAGGCTTCAGGCTCAACACAGAGCCCGATGCAGGGCTCAATCCCATGATCCTGGGATCATGACCTGAGCTGAAATCAAGAGTTGGAGGCTCAACTGACTGAGCCACCCAGGTGCCCAGGGTCTTTGAGGGGTCCCAGAAAATAGAACGTGCTGGGGGTGCCTGGGTGGTTCAGTCGGTTAAGAGTCCGACTTCGTCTCAGGTCATGATTTCACGGTTCGTGGGTTCAAGCCCTGTGTCGGGCTCTGTGCTGATGGCTAGCTCAGAGCCTGGAGTCTGCTTCAGATTCTGTGCCTCCCTCTCTCTCTGACCCTCCCCTGCTCACGCTGTCTCTCTCTCTCTCTCAGAAATAAATTCTAAAAAACATAAAAAATTTAAAGACAAAAAAGAACGTGCTGACATGCATTATTCACACAGATTCAGTAATTCCTGAATACTTTTTTAAAAAAATGTTAGAGAGAGAAAGAGAGGGAGAGAATGAGCAGGGGAGAAGCAGAGAGAGGGGGACAGAGGATCTGAAGCAGGTTCTGCTCTGACAGCACAGAGGCTGACGTGAGGCTCAAACTCACAAACCGTGAGATCATGGCATGAGCCAAAGTCAGATGCTTAACCGACTGAGCCTCCCAGCTGCCCCTCCTGAATGCTTTTGACTGAGAATCAGTCAGCTTTGTCTAAGACCTTCCTCCCTGCCTGGATTCCGAACAAATTGAGAAATAAGACCAGGGAGAAGGGCAGATGGAAAATTAACCTTTTCCTTTATGACTGATAAAGGCTTGGCTGCAGGGTGTGGCTCATCCACTGGGAAACTTGACTTGCTAAGTTTTTATAGACATGTCCACCCAGGCATCCCTGGCTACCACACCCCTGGGGCCCTGGAGGAGAAAAGCAGAGCTCATGCTCTTACGGGCAAGCAACTCTCTCTGAAGAGGAAAATGAGGAGGGAGGAAATAAACGTGTGTGATTGATTCTTCCCAATTTTACCACTCAGATGAGCCACCACACCGCCCTTGGGTTCAAGCAAATAAATGGACAGAAAGATCCAGGAGGGTGACCACAGTAAGCACCTTCCTGCCTCCCTTCCTAGAGGAAACACCTGGAATAGGGAAGCCGTGTCCCCTTGACATGGATTAGCATGGCTAGTGAGACAGGCAGAAATAGACCAAGGTCAGCTGGTGGGAAGGTACCTTGGGGTACTTGACTAGAGTGGATGGCTTTCCTTGCAGAGCAGGTGATTGATGCTGTCACTTCTTTCCCAGGTGCACCATAATCATAGGGGTCCTTGGGGAAAGTGGCTGTGGGGTGGGTGGGTGTGTGTGTGTGTGCACGGAGAAGTATCTTGAAGCTATGGCCCATGTTGGCACGTAGTAACCTTCAGGACAGATGGAGGCAGCTCGGCCCCCCGTAGCCCGCATTGTTGGCAGCAGCCTCAGAAATCCTCGGTTTCCAGCACTTCTGGCAGAGAACCGGTGGCTGTTAGCAGAGACACGTTGGGGACCAGCCACCTCTCCTGCCCCTTCTCTGTGAAATGAGTCTTCTTGGGATGGATATCGCTCATGGTATCAGCATGTCTCGGGTTCTTAGACTCTACATGAGGTCGGAACCCTAAGAATGTCAGAATGGGCTGTGGGCATTTGGAGGGCTGGGAGTGTCCTGTCCCTGTGGTTTCAATGCTAAAGAAATGCCACTTTTTGTATCTCCAGATGGTATAATGGTGAGGGGGTGTGTGTACGCGCCTGGGTGGCTCAGTCGGTTGAGCATCTAACTTTGGCTCAGGTCGTGATCTCATGGCTCAAGAGTTCAAGCCCCACACTGATCTCACTGCTATCAGCAAAGAGCCCGCTTAGATCCTCTCTCTCTCTCTCTCTCTCTGCCCCTCCCCTGCTTGTGCTGTCTCAAAAATAAATAAAACATTAAAAAAATATTAAAACGAATAGAACATAAAAAAAAAAGATGGTGCAGTGGGATGCATGCCTTATAGATACTTCCTTCTGTGTTATTTTGTCGACGCCTCTGCTGCATTTGACACCTGTGATCGTGCACTTGGCTTCTGTGTTCTTTTCGTGCTGCCCCGAGCGCTCCTTTTAGCCTCCCTCGAAGCTGAAGTTTGCGTTCCGGATATTCCTCCCCAGCGCGGCCTCAGTGCTTAATGCTCAGCGCTCTCCTTCCTTGCCCTGGAAAGTCGCTCTCCCTCTCCGGATCCCGCTCTTGCTGTGCTACAGTCTCTAGACCCTCTGTCACGAGCCACTGACTGCAACCCTTTAGACATCTCACAATCAACGTGAATACCCTGAATTCATCATTTGGGCCAAATTGGTCTTTCCTCTCTACTCTCCATCTCGACTCATGTCACGGACCTTCACCCAGTTGTATGAGTTAGAAATATAGCGGCACCTCTGACTTGTTCCCCCACATTGAGTTAGTCATCAAGACCTGACCCTTAAAAAAACAACTTCTTAAGCTTTTCTGGAATCTATTTGCATCTCTGCTTCCATCAGCGGTGGGCTGGTAAATGATTCGCAAGCAGATCTGGGGAGAAGCCTTGATTTGGAGCGTTTGTCGGGGTCTGTGGCAGCAGCACTCTCACCACCACTGATTTCAGGCCACCCAAGGTTTAATAGTCTCTCCTCCAAATTCCTAAAAACTTCACTGGCTTTTGGAAGATGGTGCAAGCTGGCTCCACTTCACAATGGCCCCGACTTGGTGCTTCTGAGCCCCTCTCTCTTCAAACTTCTCTCCCCTCAAGCCGTTCTGTAGCCAGTTGCTAAACTCAGTGCTGACCATGCCGCTCGCCCACAGAAATGACATTGATGGCCTCCTGGATGATTCAACCCACGCCCCTCACCAGCTTACTGAGCCCTCGGAGACACAACCCCGCCTACCTCTCCACGGTCATCTTGGCTCCTATCTTTTTTTTCCTTCGAGGCTCAGCTCAGCTAAAACCTCCTCCATTTTTGGGGTTGGGTCAGGTGCCCCACCTGAGCTGGCTTTGGTTACTGCACTTATAAACTTGTATTTACAGGGATTTGCCTTGTTCTTGGTCCTTTTTTTTTTTTTTTAATGAGTCTGTAAACCTCTTCAAGTAGAAATCATGTGTTTGGGGTTTTTTTTTGTTTTGTTTTTTTAACCCCCCTAGCTTTGTATATATGGAGTGGTGGCTTTGAAATTGATCAGTAAGGTCACCGGGTGGCTCAGTCGGTTAAGTGTCCGACTTCAGTTCAGGTCATGATCTCGGGGTTTGTGAGTTTGAGCCCTGTTTCGGGCTCTCTGCTGTCAGCATAGATCCTCTGTCCCCCCTCTCTGCCCCTCCCCAGTTCATTCTCTCTCTCTCTCTCTCGGTATAAATAAATAAAACTTAAAAAAAAAACAGAAATTGATCAATAAACACTTCTTAATCACTAACCTATGATTATCAAAGGTGTGTGTGTGTGTGTGTGTGTTGGGGATGTGGTGGGGTTTAACAATTGTCTACTTACCCAATGCTGTGTCACAGCTGCTCCTCCCCTGATTGTGGCTTAAAACGACAGCAATGATTTTGCAAATGAGTCCGGCGTTTAATGGGGTTTGCTAGGCAGCCTTCCGCAGGTGCAGGCAGATGTGAGCAGGAGCTGGAATCTCACAGATTTTTCACCCCATGTCTGGGAAGACTCCAACACTCAGGGCTCCTCGGGACTCCATCCCCACACACGTCTGCCTCAGGGTAGCTGGACTTCTTCCGCGCGGTGGTAAGTGGACTTCCTCTGTCCCTGCCCCCACAAATCCCCCCACAATGACTGCCATCTATCCCCGTGTTTGCAGATACAGTACCCCCGCCCCACCCCACCCCCCAAACCACAAGATGGCTTTGAGATGCGTTTTACCTGCTTTCAGTGATGATGGACTAAGTTTCAGGTCAGAAGCTCCAGGTTTCATTCCATTCCTGAGGCTGAAGACTTTCTCAGGCAGCTGACCACGTTCCTTCCTAGTCACTAAAATGGTGCTTTGGAAGCCAAGGCATTGAGAGAAAGCCCTGAGAGCTCTGATGGGCAGATTTTAGGTTAAGTAAAAGAAAATACTTTTTTTTTTTTTTTTAACCTGGAGCCCGTATTTTGCTTCCCTTTTCCTCTAGGTCCAAACCTCTAACACTGGAATGGGTACTGTCCCCTTCCATTTGTCACAGATAACTCATAACTCAGTAATTTGCGACAATTGAATACTTTTTGCACACTATTTCATGCAATAGATACTTTCATAAAAAGACAAGCTTTTTGATGATGATAAAGAAGTCATAAAAATGATCTTTAAGCAGGACACCTGGGTGGCTCAGTCATGTAAGCATCTGCCTCTGGGGCTCAGGTCATGATCTCACGGTTGGTGAGTTCAAGCTCCGCGTTAGGCTCTGCACTGAGAGCATGGAACCTGCTTGAGATTCTCTGTCCCTCTCTCTCTCTGCCCTTCCCTCACGCATGTGTACCTGCGTGTGTGCTCTCTCTGTCTCAAAATAAATAAATAAGCTTTAAAAATTATCTTTGAGGATGTGAACTCAACAGGAAGGATGCTTGGCTGGATCCCAGCTCCACCATCCAATAGTTACCTCACTTTGAGCATCAGTGTCCTCATTTGTGAAACACTAACAGCTGCCCTGCTCGCCTTCTAAAACCATAAGGATGAGCTGAGCTAATATACGCAAGCGTGGCTGACAGGGCGTGATACGCACGCAACACCCCGCTCTCCAAATGCACCAGGAGGATGCTGTGAGCCGAGCAAAGGCAGCGGACACAGACCTCAGACCTGAATTCTGGACCCGTTCCGCACTAGCTGACATTTCTCTCTCCTGGCTCTCCTGCTTCCTGTTTGGAGGTCACTGCTCCTCAGCAGGCACTCCTCCTGTTGACCTCTGATGGCTGCAGTCCTCAGGACTTGCTCCTGGAACCTACCCTCTGTGTGCGAGCTCTCCCCAGGGGATCTCAGCATTGCCACAGCCTTCGATCCTTTTTTTTTTTTTTAATGATTTATTTCTAGGAGAGAGAGAGACAGCGTGAGCAGGGGAGGGTCAGAGAGAGAGGGAGTCACAGACTGAAACAGGCTCCAGGCTCCGAGCTGGCAGTCAGCACAGAGCCCGACGCGGGGCTCGAACCCACGAACCGCGAGATCATGACCCAAGCGAAAGTCGGACGCTTAACCGACTAAGCCACCCAGGCGCCCCGCCACGTCCTGCGATCCTATCTCTCCGTGGTGACTCTCAAATTTATATCCGCCCCCGTCAGGCCTTCTCTTTGGGTTCCTGCCTCCTTGAGATGCCTCCACTCTGGTGCTGGACAAAAGCAACCCTGAGCGTGTCCTGTCCAGCAGGGGGCCACCCCCACCCCAGTCCACCCCACCCACCTGTGTTCTTCATGTGGCCTCCTCCGCATGAAGTGAGCTGGCGGTTCCCATCTGCAACTGCCTTAACTCAGGGTAGTCTGTCGCAGTTACTCCGTCTCTTTCACTCACTCATTTCCTCTGCAGCACATTTCACAAGCCCTAAGGCTCTATTCACTTCTCGTTCACTTGACTGTTACTGGTTATCCTTCCTAGAATTTTAGCTCCATGAGGGGACCGTGTCTCTTGTTTGCCTTTCTAGCCCCAGGGCCATGCGGAGTGTCTGACCCACAGCAGCTCTGCTGAAAATATCTGATGAGCAAATGAATGTGTGTCCTGAGCAGGTTACTAACCTTGAGATATTTATGTCTGTTCTCTAACATTAAGAGTATCGGGTGAGATATGAGATAATACACCGAGAAGAGCCTAGTCCAGGACCTGGCACATAGCAGCTGTTTAATAAATGTTAGTTCCCCTTCCTATAAAGAATAAAAGAATAAGCTATACAGGTTATAAGGAATATATTCTTTAAGCACATAAAAATGTATCCTATAAAGAATAAAAGAATAAGCTATACAAATTATAAAGAATATATTCTTTAAGCACATAAAAATATGTATGGGCTATAAAGAAGAAACACTTAATGTGCACCAAAAAGGTCTTAATTAAATCTGGTATAATGCTCATCGCTTAACTTAGTGTACCAGCTGTAGAACTTATACAGGTGCCTGGGCTGTACTCCCAGAGACAATGTTCCAAATGGTGTGTATCCTGATGCCTATCAGTTTGAGAACCAGTGATATAGAATATACATTGAAGTATAGTACTGTGCTCATTAGGGTTCTCCAGATGGAACAACATTTTTATTTATATGAAGAGAAAGAGCAAGACTGAAAGAAGGCGAGGGTCCACAGGATGGGTCAGCAGGCTGGGAATTCAGGTAGAGTCGATGTTGCAGCCTTGAGTCCAAATTCCACAGACAGAAGGCTAGAAACTCAGGCAGGGTTTCTCTGCCACAGTCTTGACCACAAGCCTTTCCACTTTGGGTAACTTCAGTCTTTGATCTGCAGGCCCTCAACTGATTGGATGAAGCTCACCCACATTATGGGGGGTAATCACCTTTACTCAAAGTTACTGAATTAAATACTAATTATAGCTAAAATATACCTTTACTGAAACATGTAGACTGGTGTTTGACCAAACAGTGGGGCCTCAAGTCCTAACAAAGTTGACACATAAAATTAACTATCACATTGAGCAATATTTTAATTGTCAGTTTTAAAAAATATATAAAGCATCTACTATTTCTCCAGTTTTAGGCTAGGTTTCATGGAGTCGCTCTAATGCAAAATCCTATTCCCGTCCACATTCCACCCAGGAGTTTGTTACTCATTTTTAATTTTGGTGTTTCTTCCTTTAATAAAGACTCAACAAGGGGCGCCTTGGTGGCTCAGTCAGTTAAGCGTCCGACTTCAGCTCAGGTCATGATCTCACAGTTTGTGAGTTTGAGCCCCGCGTCGAGCTCTGTGCTGACAGCTCAGAGCCTGGAACCTGTTTCACATTCTGTGTCTCCCTCTCTCTCTCTGCTCCTCCCCCACTCATGCTCTCTCTCTCCCTCTCGCAAAAATAAATAAACATTAAAATTTTTTTTTAAAAAGACTCAACACATAAGAGGTAGGGAGAGGGTTCCTGGGTAGGAGCCTTTTAGGACCCACCCAGGCAGAGTAACCTAGAAAACTCTCTCTTCAAATAAAGACTCCTCTATGTCAAATTTACCCACCTTAGATGATACTTGCTTACTGTTTCATCCAAAGCGTCACAAAAACAAGACAAAATAAAATCAATTCCAGAGCTGCTACCACGTACCGGTTCTAAGGATACAGTGACAAAGGAAATGCGGCTTCTGCCCTCTAATTGTCGATGGTTGTCACGGGGCGCCTTAGTTCTCATGGCTTGCCTGACTACATAAAACAATGGCACTTTATGAAACTGCAGAGGGAATAGGACATAGCAGGAAAGACCCTTAGATTTTGAGATATTTATTAAAAGTTGGAGAGACTTGTCAAAAAGGAATATAGAGCGTCAGTCCAGCGGGAAACAGTTCTTCAGAACAGTCCCGGGGATGAGCATCAATGGGCACCTGACGCTCATGAAGCACCGTCGCTTTTCCCCAACCTGTGACTGCTTTTCTCCAGCAGATGGCGCCAAACAACTGGTTGTAGCTAGGATGCATGGGGTCCTCTGCACAACATGAAATGCATTTCTATAAAGCCAGCATCTTAACAAAAAAAAGTATATTTACTTATTATGAGAGAGAGCAGGGGAGAAGCAGAGAGAGCGGGAGAGAGAGAATCCCAAGCAGGCTCCGCATTGTCAGCGTGGAGCCCAATGTGGAGCTTGAACCCAAGAACTGTGAGATGATGCCCTGAACTAGATCAAGAGTTGCACACCCAAGTGACTGAGCCAACGTATGCCCTTATAAAGTCAGCATCTTAAACAAAGCAATAATATTTGTTTTATTTTTTTATAAATAGTTTATTGTCAAATTGGTTTCCATATAACACCCAGTGCTCATCCCCACCAGTGCCCTCCTCCATGCCCATCTCCCCCCCCCCCCCCCCCCCCCCTCCTCAGTTTGTTCTCAGCATTCAAGAGTCTCTCATGGTTTGCCTCTCTCCCTCTCCCCCACCATTTCCCCCCTTCTTCTCCCCCACGGTCCTCCGTTAAGTTCCTCCTAATCCTCCTATACGTGCAAACATATGATATTTGTCCTTCTCTGCCTGACTTATTTCGCTCAGCATAACACCCTCAAGGTCCATCCATGTTGCTACACATGGCCAGATTTCATTGTTTCTCATTGCCATGTAGTATTCCATGGTATAGATAAACCACATCTTCTTGATCCATTCGTCTGTTGATGGACGCTTAGGCTCTTTCCATGTTTTAGCTATTGTTGAGAGTGCAAAGCAATAATATTTGAAAAGAAGGGTCTGAGGCCTTTTCTTTCTTTCTTTTTTTTTAAAGATTTTATTTTTAAATAATCTCTACACTCAATGTGAGGCTCAGACTTACAACCCCAAGATCAAGAGTCTTATGCTCTATTGCATAAGCCAGTCAGATACCCCCTGAGGCCCTTTCTTTTCCTCCACTTTAGAATGACCTGTGGATTTAATGAGAAGTGGCTGAGAAAATGGTTGCCAGTTCCAGAGTGTGGTAATATCGTGGGATAGTGGAATTGTAGGTAAAACACAAGAGATAGTCTAGTAAAGCAGCACCCAAATATAGAAATTGTGATGGAAAATACTTCAAAAAAAGGTAAAGAGAAAGTATTGTAGAAAAACCTATAATGGGAATAAATAAGTTGGAGAAGATGAAAGAGAATGTGCTCAAGTAAGCATGAGATGAGGGAGCTTAGTTTTGAGAGTACTAATATGGAAACTGCAGAAGAAAAAGTCCTATTTCTCTATTTCTGATGGTCCCCATAAAAGGTGACTTGAATTTCAATGAATATCATCTAAGTAGAGGATTAGGAAAAACGACACCAAGTCGTCTAGAGCCGATTCAACAAAATTCATTTCAAGGGAGTCTTCCTGCACTCATGAAGACCAGAAATGATCCATCACACAGTACCTGTTAGGGAAGGGGAAGTCAGAGCTTCAGGTTCTGAAAGAGGATGTTCTCTACTGCAGAAAAAGAGAAAAGCACAAAGCAGAGTTGAATTGTCATGGTAGACCTATTGGGTTCACTTTCTCTTTAAGCTTTAAAAATCTCCCATTGAAATAAAAAGTCTGCATCTGATAAAGTGGAGGATATGAAGAAGGGGTTTTTTCCTGCTACAGTTGGGGCATCTATTGCTCAGGTTAGAAGCTGCTTCCAGAGCAGGACCACTGACTTAGTTTGAAAATGGTTCTCTGTGTCCTGTGTCCCCTAACTGGAGACATTTCAAAAGAGAAGATGAAAGGAGAACATTCGTGAGATATGCTGATGATCATACACATGTTACCCCTGGAGACCAGAATAAGACTTTTGGAGTCTTTCCCACTGTTGACCAGGAAGATGTGGCTTCTCTCAGGAGTTGTGCAAGTTGTAAAACTCCTAAGTGAAATGATGCTGTGGGCAAAAGTGTCATTGAAGCATCATGGTATGTGATTATGGGCTTTGCAATTTACCGCGATTCCAATGGATTTACATTGCTTGCAATAAGTAAATGAATAAATAAATAACCCTTTCTTCCAGGAGAGTTGATTTCTTACAGAAGGAGTATGATACCCAGGTTAGTACAAATTTGAGCTTAATTATGAAATCTATGGAGAGGAACAATGTTTAAACCAGATTATGCCAATTCATCATTCAGATAATATTTTATAAGCATACTCTGATAAGCCAGTAGCTCTCAACATTGTGTGCTAAAGGATTACCTGGGGTAGGTTGTTAAGATGCAAATTCCTACCCCAACTCCAGACATTCTGATTGTAGAGATTGGGGGTAGAGTTTAGGAATTTGCATTGTAGAGATAATTTCATCATTTTGAGTAATTCAGATGCAGAAGGTGGAAAGACCTTCCGCAGAGAAATATTGCCTGAAGCAAAGGCAGAATTAGTCAATCAGAGAAACCTCCAAACTCACTTCCATTCATTCATTCATTCACTCCCTCCCTTTCTCCTGAACACATAATTCACTGAGAACTTCTAGTACCCTACCTTTGTACTTGGTGCTGTGGGCCATAGGAAATATAAGGAGACTCATTCCTTCCTTAGAGGAACTTATATCTAATGCCTGATACAGATATGCATTTACATGTGAATGACAATGTCAGGTGGTAAGTATTGCATTTGTAGAAGTGATGTGCAAGTGCAAGAGTGTGGTAGGGATTGAGAAGGAAGTCATGTCCATGTGACCTGGCATGCTCAGGACAGCAGGAACGGCAGTGCGGAGGGGGTGGGACATTGCCTGGGGCTTGAATGATGACAAGTGGGCAGGATATTTGAGATGTAGGAACAGCATTCGCTCCATACCCTATTTATTAATCAAGAATATTATTATCATCCATAAGCTTATGCTAAAGATAGAGTGGCAAAGCACGGCCAGGGATTAAACTATAATCTTGTTAACTACCTTCAGAGGAGAAATAAAGGAGCAAAAGCTTCTGAATCAGCAACATCGTCTTCTTGTTTCTTCAATATTCTGTTGCCAATGGAACCATTCTCTACTTTGCTAAGTTGATAAATAGTAGAAATGCTTGACATGACATGTTTATTATGTATAACCTGTTTTTCTCACAGATTCATATCTATTTCCTCCAGCTGCCTTCAAAAAGTTAAAATTACGATAAGACACATGACAAGTATAGGCAATTAGCACCTTCAGAAGAAGATTAGGACTGTTTGAAGCCACGGAAGGAAGATGAGTTAAATAAAAAATCGTGTATTTAACAAAGAGATCTTTGTATTCCTCACACTTCTGTTCAGGCATGGCATTTCTTTTAGCTATAGTTTGCCTATTTCATCAGGTGAAAAAAATTTTAATCCAGCTACCTCATTCTCCTTCTTACCAGTACCCTACAAAGGATCGGAAACCAAATATTTGAAGTATTTTGTCACTGAGCGTGTAGAGAAGTGGCATTCCTACCCCGCAGTACTTGATGGGAAAGGACACAGGCTCTGGAGCCGGATGACTGGGTTCTTAATCTTAGATCCATCACTTCCCATATGTGTAGCTTTGGCAAAGTTACTTAACCTTTAGGGGCCTCAGATTCCTTGTCTGTAAAGCAGCCATAAATAGGATTCTTATGATGATTAATGAATCCATACATACAAAAGGACTTAGAAGAGTCCATAGCAAGGGCTCAGTCAGTGTTAGTGACTGTCATGAGCTCTGGTGTGAAGGAAGATACACTGGGACAATTTTACTGGGATATATAGGCAGACTGGAGAGGTATTATATATATTTGGAAGTCAGCTCTAATATGGGGCAAAAAATTATTCAACTGCCACCCAAGAAAATTATATCTTCTTTTATAACAGAAAACATTTAGGCTATTTATAAGAATGTGTAATATAAAAGCATAGAACACATTTAAAGTATGAGAAGAGCAAGAATAGGGATATAAACGTACTGGAGAAGAGTCTAGTACAAAAATGCATACATGGCAGCTTAGGTACGTGCAATGGGTGGACCACACGTTTGTCTTCAAGCTTCCTGGAAATCACTGCAAAAAAAAAAAAAAATCAGCGGCAAGATGAAAACAGGCCAATTATCCAGAAGAAACACAGTTACTTGCACAATTACACCACTGTGACCCAAGAGGACATTGGCAGGTCAGTTTAGGAAGAGGATATACAACGTCTTGGGCAGCTTTTTGGCAAAGGAGCTACTGGGTTTCTCAGGGCTGTTCCGATAACATTCCTCAAATCAGCACCCCAAGGGCATTTCAGTAAAGCACTTCTAGGGGGAGATGGATTGTGGGGCCAGGTGCTTGGCTGCCTGTCTGTCTTGTCTCATCGAGAGGAAGATTTTATGTTACCTGCAATGTCCATAACTTTTCATTTGAGTTGTTCGGTTTCTTTTCTTTTTTCTTTCTTTTTAAATGTTTATTATTTTGAGAGAGAGAGAGACAGAGCATGAGCAGGAGAGGGCCAGAGCAATAGGGAGACACAGAATCTAAAGCAGGCTTCAGGCTCTAAGATGTCAGCACAGAGCTCAGTGAGGGGCTCAAACCCATGGGCTGTGAGATCATGACCTGAGCCAAAGTCAGATGCTTAACCGACTGAGCCACCCAGATGCCCCATGTTTGGTTTCTTAGAAGCCATTTGCAACTGTTTTCTCATTTAATCCTCTGAGACAGGGATCATTAAACCCATCTTACAGATAAAGAAACTGAGTCTAAGAGTGGTTGGACAGCAAGAAAATGGTGGGAGAGGATTGAGGTGCTGGCTCCCTGAGCTCATCTGGACCTTCAGCCCTGACCCAGAACCAGACATCTCAGAGTCCTGCTTCCTCTGCCTCACTGCACAGTCATCTTTTTATCCATCAACCTCTGATTTTTATGCCTGCAACTCCATTAAAATTGCTCTGGCAAAAGATGATATTTTGTTATCAAATCCAGTGACCTTTTTCTCAGTTTCCTTTTTTTAAAAATTTGAAACAATCAGTTATTTACTCTGTGGCATTTTGTTTTCCTTTGGTTTGGGGAAAACTAGAAACTCCTGGACATCTTCCTACTTCCCTACTGCTTCTGCTCACAAGCCCCTATGAGCAGCTCCTCCACCTACCTAACACATGTTGGGTCCCCAGGGCATCACCTCTGGCCCTCTCTTCGCACTCCCTGAGAGAGCCAGTCCTCTCTGACAAATCAGCCACCATTCTGAAAACAGCAATTCCCAAACTTAAAGTCCCATCCTGTATGAGGCCGAGTTCTAAGATCAGGATGTGTGGAAAAATAACATTTCTTCAACATGAGACTTGTTCATTGCTTTCTCAGTGGCATAAGAGAAAACTGGCTCAGATTTGGAGCCATTATGTAGAAAAAGACACTTCCTTACAGATGGGAATGACACTTGCAGTAGTGAGGTGTTCATGTGGTGAGGACATACAAGGGAAATGAGACCACCTGGAGGAGGAGAGGCTCATACCTCCATTTCACAACCTGTTTAGAGCCTACAGGTATGTGTGTGGGGGGAATGAAAGAAAGGAAATTAAATAGCTCTTCCCTTATTTATTTATTTATTTAAGCTTATTTATTTTGAGAGAGAGAATGGAGGAAGGGAAGGGGGAGGGGGGAAAAGAGAGAGAGAGAGAGAGAGAGAGAGAGAGAATCCCAAACAGGCAATGCACTGTCAGTGCAGAGCCTGATGTGAGGCTCCATCCCATGAACTGTAAGATTATGACCTGAGCCAAAATCAAGAGTCAGATGCTTAACTGACTGAGCCACCCAGGTGCCCCTATTATTTAGTTAAGACCAAGCACGCAGAAGTGAATTTGTGTGCATTAACAATGACTCCATGTGTCTCCTGTCTGTCCACTGAATATTTTCACGTGGTCCCCCAAGATTTCAAACTCAACACATCCAATATTTCTCATCTTTATTTCACACTAGTTACTTAGGTATAGCAAATACCTGCTCTATAGTATTGCTGTTATAAAGATACTCCCAATTTTAGTGCCTTAATCAATACAAATGTATTTCTTTTTTTTTTTTAATTTTTTTTTTATGTTCTATTTATTTCTGAGAGAGACAGACAGCATGAGCAGGGGAGGGTCGGAGAGAAAGGGAGACACAGAATCCAACACAGGCTCCAGACTCTGAGCTGTCAGCACAGAGCCTGACGCGGGGCTCGAACCCACAAACTGTGAGATCATGAGCTGAGCCAAAGTCAGACACTTAACCGACTGAGCCACCCAGGCGCCCCCAAATGTATTTCTTATCTGTGTAACATTCCAAGGTAGGTCAGGAGGTGGAAGGTGAAATGGGGTACAGGAAGTCCACTCTACAAAGTCATTCAGGGATCCAGATTCAAGAAGGTTCTGCCATCTTCTAGGTAGCTTCCAAGATTGCCGTGATGTCAGCATGCAATCAGAAGAGGGGGCAGAGGAGAGCATGGGGCACATCTATGTTTTAGCATCGCATCACTTCTGTTCCCAGTCCACTGGGCCACCTAGACACCAGCGGAAGAGTTCACATCCCAACACGAAGTCTGCGCCATGGGAGGGAGCATATACTGCGTTTTGATGGAGAGGTCACCGTCTGTCATTCACCTTCCTCCCCGTTCCCAATTTGTTCTTCAATATTTTCTGAGTCTCAATTTTCGCTTTTGTAAAAAGAACCGACAATTGTGCTCTTCACAGGGTTTTTGTGAAAAATGAGAAAACCTGCGTAAAGCAATTAGAATGTGTCTGACTTCCAGTTGATGTTCACAAGTGGGTTAACTATTATTGTTATTAATTAGTTGCAAAATTTCATCAGTTGCCCATTACACCAACCTAGAAACTCTCTTCCCTCATCAGAACTGCCAATCAGTTGGTGAGTCCTACTTACCTAATTAAAAAGTACATATTTATGTGTCTTTAAATGCAAGAAACATATGTTTCTGATAAGAAAATCAAAACATATGGATTCGGATATTTTTAAAAAAGAAAACAAAAGCCACTCTCCCTGGGGGATCCAATGTATTTATATGGCTTCAACTGCCATCTTTAAAATGGGCCCAAATGCCAGATAGACTTAACAGATATGTTCAGAACATTCCATACTAAAACAGAAGAATACACATTTTTTTCAAGTGCACATGGGGCATTCTCCAGAAGAGATCACATATTAGGCCACAAAACAATCCTCAGCAAATTCAAGAAGTCATACCATGCCCCTTTTATGACCACAATGCTAAGAGACTAGAAGTTGACCACACACACACACACACACACACACACACACACACATACAGAGTCTGGAAATAGCACAAATACCTGGAGGTTATGTAACATGCTACTAGACAATGAATGGATCAACCAGGAAATAGAAGAAGAAATAAAAAATACATGGAAACAAATGAAATGAAAACACAATGGTTCAAAACCTTTGGGATGCAGCAAAAGTGGTCTTCAGAGGGCACTATAGAGCAATACAGGCCTACGTCAACAAGCAAGAAAAATCACAAATAAACAAGCTAACTTTACACTTAAAGGAGATAGAAAACGAACACAAACAAAACCTAAAACCTGCAGAAGGAAGGAATAAAGACTAGAATAGAAATAAATGATATAGTAACTAAAAACCAATAGAAGAGATCAATGGACCGAGGAGCTGGTTTTTTGAAAAAATTAATAAAATTGATAAGCCAGACTTAGAAAAAGAAAAGAGAAAGTATTTCAAATAAATAAAATCACAAATGATAGAGGAGAAATAACAATCAACACCACAGAAATACAAACAGTTATAAGAGAATAGATGAAAAACCATATGCTAACAAATTGGACAACCTAGAAGAAATGGTTTAATTCCTAGAAACATATCAACTACCAAAACTGAAGTAGGAAGAGATAGAAAATTTGAACAGAGTGATAACCAGCAAAGAAATCAAACCAGTTATCAAAAAACTCCCAACAAACAAAAGTCTAGGGCCAGATGGCTTCGAAGATGAATTCTACCAAAAATTTTAAGATTTGATTTATATTCTTCTCAAACTATTCGAAAAAATAGAAATGGAAGGAATATTTCCAAATTCCTTCTATAAGGCCAGCATTACCCTGATACCAAAACCAAATAAAGACACCAATAACAAAGAGAACTACAGGCCAGAATTTCTGATGAACATAGACGCAAAAATTCTCAGCAAAATACTAGCAAACCAAATCCAACAATACATTAATAAAATCATTCATTATGATCAAGTGGGATTCATTCATGAGTTGCAAGGGTGGTTCAGTATTAGCAAATCAATCAATGTGGTCCATCACATTAATAAAAGAAAAGATAAGAAGGATCATTTCAATAGGTCATTTCAATAGATGCAGAAAAAGCATTTGACAAAGTACAACATCCATTCATGATAAAAACCCTCAACAAAGTAGGGTTAAAGTGAACATACTTCAATATAATAAAGGCCTTATTTGAAAAACCCACAGCTAATATCATTCTAAGTGGGGAAAAACTGAGAGCTTTTCCTCTATGATCAGGAAAAAGACAGGGATGTCCACTCTCACCACTTTTATTCAGCATAGTACTGGAAGTCCTAGCTGCAACAGTCAGACAACAAAAAGAAATCAAATGCATGCCCTAAGCAAGGAAGAAATAAAATTTTCACTATTTGCAGATGACACGATACTGTATATAGGAAACTCAGAAGACTCCACCAAAAAGTGGCTAAAGCTGAAAAATGAATTCAGTGAAGTCACAGGATACAAAATCAATGCGCATAAATCTGTTGCATTTCTACACGTCAATAATGAAATAGCAGAAAAAAGAATTAAGGAATCAATCCCATTTACAATTGCACCAAAATAGTAAGATACCTAGGAATAAATAGGTGAAAGATCGGTATACACTTTGAAAAGTATAAAACATAAAATACTGATTAAAGAAATTGAAGAGGCACAAAGACGTGGAAAGATATTCCCTGCCCATAGATCGGAAGAACAAATATTTTTAAAATGTCTATGTTACCCAAAGCAATCTACATATTCAATACAGTCCGTATCAAAATACCACCAGCA